CAAACGACAGACACATATTCAGCCAATTTGTAAGAGATGCCATGCTATGGGATTGGATGGGTGAGTGGAATGATGACACTCTCAAAGCTGGCCTTGGGCATCAGTTATGCTGCTGAATTTTGAGATATAAATATTCATAATCTTAAAACAATCTAAGCGAGAGTAGTGGGATAGGCCTATAATCCCAGCACTTGAATTCAAGTCCAATCAGGATTACTTAGCAAGTTCAAGACCAGCTTGAGCTACACAGAGATTCTGTTTCAAAAGACAAAACAAAGAACAACGATCACACGTCTATAGACGCAGCCCCTCAGGAGGCTGAGACAAGAGCAGCACTGGAGTCCAGGAGTTTGGGGATAGTCTGGACATCATAGTGAGAAAAAGAATCTAGAAGTGTAAATTTCAAGTTGATAGAGTTCAGTCAAGGGTGCAGCAGGGATCAACATAAGACCAGAGAATATACCATTTTGTGAGGTTAACACATTTCCCAAACAGCAAGCCCAACGTTAGAGCAGAGTAGCGGAAGTCAGATGCTCCTCCATTAAAAGTGTATATTAAGGCCAACACTGTACAAAACTACCAAACTGTTCCTGTTTTGAACTTTCTTTTCATCACAGCACACAGATAAGATGCAACCACCAATCATATCTTCTTAAAGTGCTGGTCTGAACCAGCAACATCAGCATCATCTAGGAACTTGATGGAAATGCAAATCTGAGGCCCCCATCTGGATCATACTGAACCAGAAGTTCTGGGGTGAGGGGGGCACACAAAGCTGTGTTCTAACAAGCTCTCTAGGCAACTCAGAGACACACACAGGCTTGAGAACCGCTGTTCTAAATGGAGACGCCAAAGGGGCACACAGGGGTGTGGTAATTTGGTTAACAGATGGAACAGTCGGACCAAGTCCAGCTGAAAACTTGAAACTCTGAAAGTAGCACTTTCAGTCTCACATCCTCAGCTCTCTCAACGGTCAAGCAGTGTGTTGTCCTAATCCAGACCACCTCAGCGGTCTGTCCACCTCAAAAGTACAGTTATGCTCTCTGGTGACTGGAATGGAGCCTCTGGACCCCAGCTATAACCCACGGTGGAGTTAAGTAGAGAGCCCTCTGGGGACCCTGTATCTCCTTATTTTGTTCTCTAATCTTTGGGATCAATGGCTCACTTCCTAATCCAGCAAGAATGGTTGGCAAGCGTCTGTTGTTAGGTGGGAGAAACAGTGCCCTGGAACACTGAGATCTGCTTGTGTACAAAGGAAGCAGCGTGGTCCCGCTAGCAGCTTGGGAACTGAGATAGCACAGAGCCACCAGCGGTAACCCCAAGAAAGAAGGTGAAAAGCAATTCATTTTAGTGTTGTTCTTTTCCAACAAATACAAAAGTTGCAGAAAAGCCCACATAATACTGTAACTAAAACCCATGTTCCCACCACCTAGAGTTAATAACTATTAATACGATGTCAAATTAAAAAGCAGTTTTTCCGAGCTATGAAAAGATGGTATCTGGCGTGCTCAGGGGGAAGGGTAGCACAACAAAAAGGAGCCTTTAGAATAGGGAGAAAGAAGGAAAATATTTTTAAAATATTGTTTAGCAAAGAATGTCCTCCTTTTATTAGAAAACATTTCGAATGCGGTGTTTCCACATAGCTACTAATAATAGCTTGTAAATTTGCCTAACTGTAGGCTGGAGAGTTGGAATTTAGAAATAATACAGAGCTGAAAAATAGCTGGAAAGGAAGCCAGTGTTTTTCATTGGTAATAAATACAACATGGTTTAGGACACCTCTGTCTTCCACTGGAGAGCAGGGAAGAAATTAGGCCAGCCCAGAAGAAATCAGGCTGCAGACCATGAAAATGGAAGGCTTTCCCATTTACTGTTCATGGAGCTGAAGCCAAAGGCTTCAGAAGAAGGAACCATCACCAAGGGCATTTCCTCACTGGTTGTAAGGCCACAACATGTGCTCCAGGAAGGTCCACCGGTGCTCTTCCAGGGTGGGGAAACAGAGGTGTAGAGCCTGGGGGGCTGATTCCCAGAGTGCAGAGCCAGATGGTGCCCAGCTGGCGAAGCAGCGGGCAAGAGAGGCTCCCATCTTTGCTCCAATCCAGTTGGTTTTGCAGCCACCAGGGAAGCCCTTCTGGCATCTCCAGAATCTCGGAAACGATACCATGTGTGTCGATGTCCGCTCCCGGCCGGCAGGAAGGACACACGACAAAGTCTGGTAGTGGACAACCTTTTCTTTTTATGTTTCTTCTCCGTACAGTCTGCCCTGGGATCGCTCGCAGCCGAAGCCTCCTCTGGTCCGCTCCCCGCGGCTCCTTTTGTGCTTCAGTCTGCCCCAAAGCCTCTACCGGTCCGCTCTCCGCGGCTCCTTTTGGGCTTTTACTTTTGGGCTTCTACCTGGCTTCTTCTTCCGCCCAGGGGTGGCACCGGTATATATACGGGTACAGTGTCCAATCATGTTAAAGTAAGCAAGGCAAGCTGATTGGCTAACATCATCAGTTGCCAGGCAGACTATATTGTTGAGCGGGTTGTTTACGCGGTAAGCAGGAAACTAACATATTCGATGGGAGGGGTAATCTACCTCAGGCTTTGCTCTTTACCACAGGCCGCACGTCCGCCGCGCAAGGCGAGCTATCACAGACGCGGCTCCCAACATCTCCCCCTATTTTATTTTTTATGAATGTGCGCATCGTAGCCCTTCCTGGACTGGGTGCAGAGGCTTATGCCCTATGTGTAGGCCCACCGTAGGTCCTTGGCTTAGACCCTGGTTGGCCATGCCATGGTCTGCCAAGGCCCTGAGGCCCTCGTCCTTTTTTTAGGGCCAGGCACAAACTGGACAGAACCTGGATGCACACAAGCTTGCACTCATTTCCTCTCCGTAAAGAAATCCCCTCGGAGAGAAATTTAGACCTGGGCAGCATCTAACAGTCCAGCGGCTTACGTGCAGGATGGGGTAGGGCCTGGCTTAGGTCGAGTCGTGCTGGGGAGGCACGCTCTTACCCGTCATTGACTCACCTACCCTGCTGTGTATTGTCACCTTATGGAGGAGAATGAGGGATGCCCGCCATATCTAGACTCGGTCGTGGGTCAATTGAGCAAGCCATGCATATGCCTGAGGATCTTTTTGTCTATTTCGGGCTACCGCTATTTTTATTCATCTTATTGGTTGGTCTGTGATGGATCTCCAGTAGGGCAGGTCTGATCTTTAGTCGAGGGCTTTGTTGCCCGTGTCAGTCTCTCCGGTATCCACAGTGGTTCTCGTCCCGGTTCCTGTGGGAAAACACAAACCGCGCCTCGGTTCCAGCTGACCACTGGATCCGGGCCCATCCATTGTCCTGTCAGGACATCTTTCCACTTCACCCACCCTTTATGGTTGGGGGAAGGGTTGCAGTGCTCCACAGCTGGGGAGCGATTATCATTATTTAAATTTAAAAAATTGTGTGTGAATAGTGCCATGGATAATCGTGCCTTTGGGGCCAGGCCTTGGCCTACTCCCCCTTTTTGTTTTTGTAAAATTTCTTTGAGGCTTTTATGAGCCCTCTCAATGATTTCTTGACCTTGGGGATTGTATGGGATACCATGTTTTAATTGAACCTCTATCATTTTGTAGAACTCATTGAAGGCTTTGCCTATATAGGCTGGTCCATTATCAGTTTTTAATATTTTTGGTTTGCCCCATGCGGCCCAAGCTGCCAGGCAATGATTGATCACATTAGACACTTTTTCACCTGTTTCTGCTGTTGCGAATATGACGTGAGAACAGGTGTCTGTGGAAACATGAACATATTTAAGAGTCCCAAACTCCTGTATATGTGTGATGTCCATCTGCCAAACATCACCAGGGATCAAACCTCGAGGGTTTACTCCCATCGGTATGGCAGGTTTGTATGTGGCACAGGAGTCACATAGTCGCACGATATCTCGTGCATCTGTTTTAGAAACATGGAAATGGTTTGCTAGTGTCCTGGCATTAACATGAAATTTATCATGGAAGGCACGGGCTCGCTCGATTGGTGTTAGTAAAGTAAAAATCCATAACGGGCGAGTGGCAGTGTCAGCAGCCGCATTTCCCTGTGCCATGGGCCCCGGCAGGGATGTATGTGCTCTTATGTGGGTGGTGAAGACCTTATGGTGTCTGTTCTGAAGCAATGTCTGGATAGACAGGAACAGTCCAGCCACTGTGGAAGTGGATCTAATTAAACTGGCAGTCTCAAGCACTTGCATAGCATTGACCACATACCTAGAATCGGAGACAATGTTAATGGCTTCTGAGAACCGTTCAAGAATCATTTTAACGATCTGTAGTTTTACCACCTGAGGCTGATCTGGTTTAAATTGTATGGTAACCGGGGGCTTGCCTAGGATCACATAGGCGCCTATCCCCGTCTTGGAGCCATCTGTGTATATTGTAGTTGCTGGGACTAATGGCTCAGAGGCAGTAACCTTTGGAAAAATTATAGGGTGCTGAGTGACAAATGACAAGATAGGGTCTTTAGGGTATTGATTGTTTATATCCCCATGGAAAACACATCTCAGAATGGCCCAAGTATCTATGCAGGCAGCCAGGGTCTTGATCTGGCTGGCGGTATAGGGTACTCGGATGGCTTGTGGTCCTGAGCCAAAATGTTGGACAGCTCTATCATGCGCTTCAAGGGCCAATGAAGCGACTGCCTCCGGGTAATGCTCTGTGACTTTTGCAGGTGAGACCTTAGGGTGTATCCACAGTAGTGGTCCTTTCTGCCAAATCACCGCTGTAGGCTGTAGACTAGTCTGTAGCAAACAGACATCAAAGGGTCGCCCTGGTTCAATTCTGTGTAAGGTAGCCCCACCTAAGGCTTTTTCCACTCTCTGTAAGGCAGCTCTTGCCTCAGGAGTGAGCCTCCTGTGGGAGGCTATATCTGGGTCTCCCTTCAGAAGGTCGAACAGGGGTTTGAGATCTGAATTTGGTATATGTAAATATGGCCTAATCCAATTAATGTCTCCCAATAGCTTTTGCATGTCATTTAGGGTCCTAACGCCACCCGTCCTAATGGTGACCTTCTGTATAAGTCTGGAGGCGACACTGAGGTCCACACCTGCTGACCCAGGGGTGGCCCTTGTTGAAGGCTGCCACCCTGAGCTGTCCTGTCTCTGGGGCGGGGGCCCGCCTGTGAAGGGGGCCCCCTCTGGCCGTTTTTTGGCTCTCTAGCATCTTGTCCACAAATACGGTTGCCCTGAGCATCAAAGACCGACCTACACTCCTCAGCTTTGTGTGATCCCTTTTTGCATCGCCCACAAACATATGGTTCTTCATTCCTAGGGCGAGGCCTAGCATCTGCATTGTTTGGGCAATGACGTTTAATGTGTCCTGGCTCCCCGCAGGCAAAACACCCTTTAGCCTTACATTCCCCTTCTAACCCGCGAGGTCCCCTCTGCTGTACAGCCGCGGCCAGGAGAGCAGCCACTCCCGAGTTGGAGAGCGGCCCCCCTATCTCTCTGCATATCCTAATCCAGGCGTTGAGGTCCTTGTTCTTATGAGGAGCTATCGCTGCCTTGCACTCCTTTGTACATTGCTCAAAAATCAGCTGTCTTACCAGCGGTTGAGCCACTCCCGGATCAGGAAATATCTTATCGGCAGCATCTTGCATTCGGGCCACAAAGTCAACAAATGGCTCTGTGGTACCCTGAATTATTTTTGAAAGACACAAGGAGGCTGTTCCGGCACCACTTACCTGTTTCCAGGCGCGGAGCCCTATGGCATTGATTTGTTCATAGACAGCGCCGGGGAACTGGGTTTGGTCATCAGCGTGCCGACCTTCTCCCATAAGCATTTCCTTGTTCCACCCCCGGTTTCCCCGATTGGCGTTTCTCTCAGCCTGCTCTGCAGAGAACTCTGCGTACCAGGCTCGCCAATCCAGGTAACTGCCCGAGGGCAGACACGCCTTTGCCAGCTGAATCCAGTCCGCGGGGGTGAGGGGCCCAGAAGACAGATTCTCCAGCATGGCAATGGTGTAAGGCGCAGTCGGCCCAAAGGTTGTAACTGCATTTTTAAGTTCTCTAATCTGCTTTATCTCAAAAGGCTCCCATACATTGTGTCCCTGGCCCATAGCTACTTGTACAGGAAACATCCCGTAGGGGCCACTATCTATCCCAGGTGGATGTACCTCATGAGACAAGCGTCCCCCCTGCCAAAGCCGCCTGTAAAAATACCGACCCGCCGGCGGCGGAGCATAAGACGGCGGCCGTGATTGGGCGGAAAATGGGGGCCCGTGCATCACTTCCTGTTCTGGCGAAAGGGGAGGGAGCTCCCAGGCGGCCGCCTCGTGGCGAGGGATCGCCTCCCTCTCGCGCCGGGGAGCGCTCAGGAGCTCTCTACTCCTCCGCAGACCAGGTTGAGCAGAGCGCAATTCGCGGGGCAACGCTGGAAAAGAACCCTGCGACTCCTTATTGAGCGATTTAGGCTCCTGACAGCTGGTCTCTTTGGCCTCCTTGCCATTCAACTTTCCCTCGTCCTCGGAGTCAGACGACTCCGAGGCTAGAGCCCCGTCCTCCTCCTTAGCATCCTTGTTCCCCTTGACGGACCCCTCTCGGGAGCTCCCTGACTGGGCCTGCTCAGATACCCTGCGTACTTTTGTAAGCTCTTGAGAGCTTTCTCCACAACCACCCTCGCTCTTAGTGTTGCTACCTAACATGTTTCCCATCTTTTAATATGTTACTCACCGCGTGAGGCCCAAGGAATCCGCCACTTACGCGTGAGCCTGAGGGGAGTCTAAAAGCCCTGTAGGTGCGCGCCACCCAGAGCCCAGGCTTATCCCCAACTCACCTGTCTCGCAGCTCTGTACTGGAGCGTTGTCCACTTCCACGTCTCGGGGGTGATCAGTCCCCGGGCGGGCCTCCAAATGTCGATGTCCGCTCCCGGCCGGCAGGAAGGACACACGACAAAGTCTGGTAGTGGACAACCTTTTCTTTTTATTTTCCTTCTCCGTACAGCCTGCCCTGGGTTCTCCCAGCTGAAGCCTCCTCTGGTCCGCTCCCCGCGGCTCCTTTTGTGCTTCAGTCTGCCCCAAAGCCTCTACCGGTCCGCTCTCCGCGGCTCCTTTTGGGCTTTTACTTTTGGGCTTCTACCTGGCTTCTTCTTCCGCCCAGGGGTGGCACCGGTATATATACGGGTACAGTGTCCAATCATGTTAAAGTAAGCAAGGCAAGCTGATTGGCTAACATCATCAGTTGCCAGGCAGACTATATTGTTGAGCGGGTTGTTTACGCGGTAAGCAGGAAACTAACATATTCGATGGGAGGGGTAATCTACCTCAGGCTTTGCTCTTTACCACAGGCCGCACGTCCGCCGCGCAAGGCGAGCTATCACAGACGCGGCTCCCAACACATGTGCAACACAGAGGATGTATTTCTCTTCTTTGATAAACACAGTCCCACTCTAAAGGAGAAAAGAATTACTAAAACACTCAGGCTTCCCTCTTAGTCCTAACTGAGAACCTCCTCTTTGCTCGTGTGAACCCATTTCCTCTGGAGGTAGGACAATGATGGGGGGATTCTTTTCACTGTGCAGGAGAACCTAGTTGTTACTGAGGGTCAATCTAACCCACTCATGGGAGAAGTTAATGAGGTTAGAGGTGCAGCTCAGCTGGGCAGCCTCAGTGAACTCTCCTGTACCCCTCACCTGCCCAGATGCCTTGTTGGGCTGTACAGCACACAAAACACTACGACTGTCCCCCTTCAGAGAACTGCTAATGCCATCACAGTCCCGGTTTTATGAGGACCAAGTACAATCAGGGAGCCGTGGCAGCTGTGCTTTTTCCCAGGGCCCTTTCAGAACCTCAGCTAATGCAATGGGAGCCTGCTTGCTGGAGCACACGGCCAAGCGGGCCTGCAGAAACATTCAGGCACATTAAAAACCAACAACAAGAAATGGATTTTTCACCTGGCTTCCCATGAACAAAAAATATTGAGGAAACAGAAAAACGTGTGTGGCTGCCTGTGCATTGTTCTCACCTCAATTTGAAATTCATTCGGTCAGTCACTATTTCAGCACCCACTGTGTGCAAAGCTCTTTGCTAATCTCTGTTTACTGACACAAGCGAAATGTAGTTTCTGACTTCCAAGAGCTCACAGTCTAGGGGAGAAAAATCACACATGAGAACTAAAAAATCGTATTATGAGTTTCGTCATAAAGGCTCATTCTTCTATTCGACAAAGATTTATTGTGCATGATGTGCCAGCCTCAAGTATGAACAAATAACTAGGAGCACACAGGCCAAAATACAGGGCCCATTCCCCTTTCAAGCAGGAAGATGAGGTGGGCATGAAACTTAGTGGTAGAGTACATGTGTGAGGCCCTGGGTTCAACTCTCAGCACGGAAGAGACAAAACCAAAACCCAACAGAGATGTGAGGAAAAGAGCTTCCATATAGATTCGCTCTAAGGATGGGGCTCATTTCCTTTATACCCCTTATACCCAACATATGCCTGGCAAACATTCAATAAATATTGCTTGTTTAGCCAGGCATGGTGGTGTGTGTCTGTCATCTTACCTGATCAGGAGGCTGAGGCAAGAGATCACAGGAGTTCAAGACCAGCTTGAGCAGTATAGTAAGACCTGGTCTTAAAACAAAACAAAAAATAAACAAACCAAAAAAACCCAAAAACATAGCTTGCTAAACAATCAGAGATAAAATGAAAAAAAAACAAATAAAAAATAAGTTTTGTTTTTTTAAAAAAAGAATGGGCTTTCTGTTCTGAAATTCATTAGGCAATTTCAACCTCATCTTTTTTTTCCATCCATTCATTGATTTGATAAACAGTTACTGGACACCTATGACACTCCACTGGGAGCAGGGGCCACAAGACCAGGCAGCTCTCTAGGAGCTCAGAGATGGGCAGGGGGAAAGGAGTGAAGCTAAGCCAAGTCTCCAAGGCTGTGCGGAACAGAAGCAAGCATAGCATGTCAGGAGGACTGCATCTCAGGAGGACTGCATCTCTGGCCTGTTCAGATGGACAGAGTGCGGAGATGCAGAACAAGGATGTGGGGACACGGTGCAGTTCGCTGTCCTGAGCTCTGGGCTTCCAAACACTTGGTCTTGACATAGATTTCTGGAGTGGGACAGGTTTCCTTGAGCTAACCCAACTTTTGGAGGATGATGCGTCAACTAGAACCAATTCCTTAAGTAGTTACTCTGGTGGACCAGATGTACCTGTGGGCCCTGGAATCTGCCCATACACAGAAAGATGCTGAATAAGCATGCAATTTGGGAAAGTGGCGAAACTAATGTTCTTGTCCCCAGCTGTGGCTGCCAGCTGGATCTATCCCCACTGCCGTTTTCTCTCTCCCTCCACTCACAGCCAAGCCCTGCACCCCCCTTCCCATCCCTCACAGGCCTGTGCAATTGCATTCTACCCCCACCCCTAGCTAGCTTCATCTATGTTAAACACAGTCCTCTGTTGCTAAAGGCAGGATTCCCTTCAGTCCTTGTCACTCTTGTTATCTCTGCAGCTACTGGCCCTGAGACATTCTCCTTCCTCCACATCTGTGCTATCCTCTTTCCTGCTGCCTTCCTGTTTTGGGGTGGTTCGTTGTTCTGTTCTGTTTTGTGTTTGCAGTACTAGTGTTATAGTTATAGTTACATGGATTTATTTACTTAGCATGACAAGGTTCACCCATGTTGTAAGATGTATCCAAATGTCCTTTTTATGGCTAAATAATATTCTGTGGTCTCTAGCTACAATTTTCTTTATCCATTCATCCACTGATGGATAATTGGGTTACAACTACTTTTGTTTATTGGAAGCATGTTACTATGGACATAAGTGTACCAAGGTCCCTCTGAGACTGTAATTTTAATTCTTTCTAATACACACAAGTAGGATTGAATCAAGTGGTATACTGATTCAGTACAACTACCGTACTAGTTATTTGCTTGTTTGTTTGTCTGTTTGGGGCTTTTTGCTGCACCATTTTACCTTCCCACCAGCTGTGTGCAAGATTTCCAATTTTTCCATATCATCTTCAGCACTATTTTTTGTAGTTTTTATACTGTCTGTTCTAATGGGTATTCAAATGGCTTTTCTGAATTCTAGATTTGCATAGCCAACTGTCTACTGCACATCTTCATCCAAATGTTCATCCAGAGAACTTTGAACTCGACATTTTCCAAAGCTAATCTTTGTCCCAAAACCCAACCCCCATGGCATTCCCTATCTTGGCAAATAATGCCATACCCTGCCATGCACTAAAGCCAAAAACAAGAATGGTTTTCTTGCCAGTGCCAGGATTTTCGTTCATTGATACATCCTGAATCTTCTCCCTTCTCCCTACTTAGTCACAATCTAATACAGACCAGGATCGTCTCACGTTTGACCTCCCATAAGAGTCCTGCCTCGCTTCCTGTGATTTATTCTTTCTTCTGCAGATTTCTATCTTATTATTATTTGCAATGATATTAGATTGAACCCAGAGCTTTGCACATGCTAAGCAAGTGCTCCACCACCAAGCTATACTTCCAGGCTTTTTTGTTTTTTATTTTGAGGTGAGATCTCAACTGAATTCCCAAGTTGGGCTCAAAGTTGCTCCTTCTACCTCGGCCTCCTGAGTAGCTGGGATTACAGGCATGCCCCACTACGCCTAGCTGAAAATGTAGACTTGATCCCATTCTCCTCCTATAAAGGACTTTGGTGTCTCCCCAACATCTTGAGAAAAAAATCCAGTCTTTAGAATGAAAAAGTATTTAGCTTGGCCCGGCTCAAGGTTCAAGCCTTATCTCTTGTTGCGTCCCATTTTGCATTTTGAGCTCATACTGAACAACTCACAGTTGCCTACATGTCTTACATTTCTTGTGTCACAGAATTCTTGACCTGGACCATCCTTTCCTTTTTTGTTCCCTTGGTTCGGCCTGAGGTGTCCCCTCCTTCAGTTTCCTTTCCAGTGTTATGTGAGCTGGGTTCTCTCCTTCTGTGTCCACAGCACCCTGTGCTCTGCCTCGTACTTACCACACTGCCCTCTGCCCTGGACAGGAGGCACTTCTATAGGTGCTAGACTGTGACTTACCTACCTTTGTATCTCCAGTGTCTAGCACAAAGTATGACACACACTAATTGTCTACCAGAGCAGTCAGGCAAGTATTCTTGGAGGTGCTATAGTCAGGATTAGCAAGAGAAGCAATTTAACACATAATTTATAGGATTATTTTATGATAGAAACCCAAAGAGTCAAATACAAAAAAAGTACAGGAAATTCGCCTTTACACTACAGACCCAAAGAATCCAGCTGAGGGCCTGGATCTTACGGCAATGTCTTACAGGAGTCCAGTTGAAGACCTAGAGCCCATGACAATTTTCCCCATGAATCCAGTTGGAGGTATAGATCCCACAACAATGTTTAATACAAGTCTGCTTATGGATCTGCACTGGGAAGGCCCAAAGGTCAGTGGTGGAAGCTAGAGTCTGTGCCAGTGGGATGAAGGATCTGTACCAGTAGGCTGAAGTATCTACCCTGGAGCCAGGAAGTGATGCTCAAAGTAAGGACCAGGCTCGCCTGAAAAGTACCACAGCCACCCTCAGCGACAAGGTCCTGAGCTCCTTTTACAATGAGAACAGCCTAGTTCAGATCATGAAAGCCAGTATGACAAACTTCTTCAGGAGACTGAAAGCACCATGTCCTCTTCCCCTCTGGAGCCAGGAAGTGACACTCGAAGTAAGGACCAGAACTCCCCCAAAGTGAACCTCAGCTATTCTCAGTGACAGTGAGGTGCTAAGCTCCTCTGACAATGAGAACAGCCAAGTTCAAATCAAGAAAGAAGTTCAACAAGCTCCTCCAGGAGAACCAACAACATACTTAGAAACTTTTAAATTTCTTCTCTGTGTCTGGAGATGGGAATTTGAAACTTTGAGATCTTTATTTCCCTTTATCAATTTGTCCTCACAATCAGAAGACTTTAGGCTTCCTAGGGATGTTTTGAGTTCATTGTTTTACTTCACTAGTTTGTCCAGAGAGGCTAAGATAACCATCCAGCACCATTATAATTCCTACTCTGCTAAAGACACTCAGAATTTTCATGTACAGAGTCACTAAATTCTTGACATCTCAAAGGTGGTGAATTAGGATAATCAAATCGATCTACATAGTTGTTGACCCAGACCGGACACTGTAGCCAAAAAAAGCCTCAGCCAGAATTAGGGAGCTCCTGTCTCCCCCACCCCTAGAGATTTACCTGTAACCCTATAATCCCCCCACCCTTTGGAATCTGCCCCTGGCGCCAAACGTGTGCCAATGAAATACCTGTGCATCTCTAATGGCCTTAGGGCACTGCCCTAAGCTTAGGCTACTTATATTCCGCCACGCCACGTGTCTGCGTGAGAAAGATCACCAGATTTCAGCTGCCGGGGTGCCAGTCCTCTCTCTCCGTGTTCCCAGAATAAAGGCCTCTTTTGATTTATACTCCTCATCTTTTGGGAATATTTTTCATCTTCTGGAAATAATCCTATCATTTGGTGCCGTGACTAGATTGGCAGGCGATTGACTCTTGGGACACACATGCCCAGCTGGGTACCCGGCCGATTCATGAACCGGTAACATCCTGGCTTGATTCTGTGCTTTTCCTTCTGCCGAGACACATTTCACCTCTCGCCGGCCGCCTCCACGCACCACCAACCAGACTGATTTAAGGTGAGTATGCTCCGGAAGACTGTTGGCACTGGGCCGGGCCCCAGTAGACTGGTCTCCCCCATTTGCGTGGGTCTCTAGCATTTTCACGTCCCTAGGACTGCCCTGAGCAGGGTTTTTTCCTAGGCTAGCCTGTGTCCACACTAAAATCTCTCACATTCTTTGGGTTCTGATAGCCCAAAGCAGAAATTTTTGGACCACCCACACTGAAAAATACCTTGCTTTCCTTAAAAGCCTCGTGCCTTCACTGGCAAAGCTGCTACTGACCTTGTGCAAACTCCACTTGTACATTTCTCAGTGACGACTAGAATGTAAGAGTTTGGGGACCTTAGCCCCACTGTGTAGTGCCACAGAATCAGTGACGGCTTATTCTTTGGGCCACAGTTTTACTTGCCTAAATCAACAATGGGAAATTTACTTCCTCACTCCCAAAAAACGCCGTTACAACGCTTAATTTCCAATTTACGTACCTTAAAAATTAAAAGTACCATAAAAACTAAATTATTAACTTTTTACTGCCAGGAAGTTTGGCCTATGTACTCACTCCTCGGCAAGCGTTGCCCTAGGGAAGGAACATTTGATGCTTCCATTCTACAAACGCTGCATGATTTCTGTCAAGCTAGTGACAGAGTGATAGAGCTACCATACATAGAGGTGTTTTTGGTTCTGAGAACACGTCCCTCATTAAGTCCTGTAATCCCACTCAAGTACTCCTAGCTAGCTCTCCTGTGACCCAACCTGTTTCATCCTGTCCCAAGATATGCTTGACGATGTTCTGCCGATTTACCCTCGGGCTCCACCATACCCCCAAATTAATTCTTCATCCTTATCTTGCTGGCCACTGCGGTCCCCTCCCCCTGCTCCTGGTCCCTCTGCACGGAAATTACCTCTCACTGCTCGATCCTCTCTCCCTCCGCCTTCCACAATACAGGCCTCTCCCAGCAGCTCTGCTCTGCCCTCGATATCTTCTCGCCACCCCTGTACCACACTAGGTCATGTTCATTGTGCCCTTCCAGCAAGCAGCATGATTGTTCCAGCTTGCGCTGTAAACAGCCGCCATGCTCGCCATGTTTGGGCAGCTGCGGCAGCGATGGAGCACCCCCATGTTCAGATAGTTGCCATGGCGACGGGTGCCGCCACGTTCCGATAGTTCAGGCGGGTCACGTGGCGATGGGGCACCGCCATGTTCCGGTAGTTACTATGGCGACAGGGTGCCGCCATACTCAGATGGGTCACGTGGTGTGCCTTTACCATGGGGGTGCCACCATGTTCATTCCGGTCTCGCTGTCAATGGGCGCCCCCTTGTGGCTCCTCTTGTGAACAGCAACAGCCGCCTTGTTGCAGTCCACATGGTGACAGCCCATAACAATCCTCTCGTTTCAAGGCACGCAGTCTAATGCCATCTGCCTGTGTTTCCTTGTCCCAGGGTGAGCAGCAGCTGCTCTACAGCCGCTCTTCAGATAATTACTCACACGCGTCTACCGGGCGGATAGCTGCCCAATGGCACTCTCCTCCACATTCTTCTCCTCAGGCTCTGCTGCCACTTCAGGAGCAAGCAGGCCCCAAAGGACTGTTAATAGACATGTGCCATTTTCTCTTTCTGATCTGTCTCAGATTACCCATAAATTAGGCAGCTCCTCTGTTGACCCACAGAATTATATCAGACA